TAAACGAGGTTGCAGTCAGACGACTCTGATGGCTGACTCCCATACACAATACTCTCAAGGACGGGCACTTACCTAACGAACACGGTTTCAGGCGAGAGTTCCTACGAGTACAGGTCTGCTCGTTTCACACTCATCGGGGATCAGCTATCAGGAGAGGTCAGAGCCCCTCTTCCTGCATGTGTATCCTTGAGAAGCAGACTTCATCATGCGGGAAATTCATGAAGGGATTGTGGCAACCACACGGCAGTCGATCACCTCGCGAGCAAGATTGTTCGTCAGGGATATTACTGGCCAAAATAAAGAAGATCGCACAGCTTTGTTAAGAAGTGCGACAAATGCCAGCGGTTCGGAACATCCCGCGAGCACCCTCTCACGAGTGGGTACTATGTCAGCCCCTGCCGTTGTTCCATGTGGGGATCGACATTATCGGCCCCATGCCAGTTGGAAAGGGAGGGGGTCAAGTACGCCGTAGTCGCTGTGGATTACTTTAAAAATTGGTCAAATGCCGACACATGGCCGCGAGTACGACACAGGAAGGTTAAACAGGAATTCGTATTTTCCAAGGAACATGAAGTGTGCGCTACGGAATTCCCACACCCTCATTCGATAATGAAGCAATTTCGATAAGTGCAGGAGTTCAATGCAGTTTCGCAATCGAGCAGTGGCCATCCAAAGAAAATTGGCTCAGTCCCAGGCCCGCAAGGACTGGCCAAGTTAGCCCACCAGATCAGTCAAAATCCATTCACGACCCGATCAGAGCACACTCTGAAGGCAAAGCTGGAGCAGCAGCCAGGGGAAATTGGGCTGCAGGACCTCCCGAGTTTTATGGGCATACAGGACCAAACTCCAAGGGACCTCCACCTCGGAACACCCGTTTCATAGCATGATGGCTGTGAAGCCAATGACCCTGTCGAGGTCGGGACCGGTTCGGAACGGGCATGTACAACTAGAGCCTGAAAAGCGAATAGCACACCCTTTTTGACGCTGAGTCAAGATTGGCTAATCTAATGGTCTCAAGAACGTCGCAAGCAGACGCTGCGCTAAGGATAGAAGCCTACCAGAGTCGAGCAACACAGGTCTGTGACCGAGAAGGTGTGAAGCGAAGAGACTTCAAGGTCGGGAGACTCTGGTGCTAAAGGAGTTACTCCTCGGGCAGGAACCAGTGCGTGGGCCGTTGCTGGGCCTAACGGGATAGGCCATACGGATCGAACCAAATGTTGATCAGACCAGGGAGCTACCATCTCAAGGATTGAAACGGATCCAAGGTACCCCGAGCTTGGAAACGCGAGCACACTTCGGCATACTATCAGTAATCCCAAATCAGCTCGGTTTTTTGTTTTCTTGATAATTTCTTTTTTCGAGCATTACTTTGTTTACTGTAAGGCGAGTTAGAATGTGTTCTGTTGGCATGTTCAAAATTATAATGTACGCTTCTGTGGCCACAATTGTAAATTAGTGGATTTATTAAAAAGTAAACTCAATTGCAAAAAGTAATTATACAAAAGTTATGACCCGAGTACAGAAAGAGGACTCCATAAACGCTTAAGGCTGGGGGAAGAGATACTTCGAGCTGGAGCCGACAGCCTGTGGCCCTCTGGGTTGGGTTCCTGGATGGCTGCCGAAGCGGCAGCCTGGTCCTACAGGCCCATGGTCACGCGTACAAGGGGCCTGCCAGAGGGTCGGGACGGTTCGAAAAGTCCAAGTAGGATTCTTTGCGCAAAAAGGAAGCTAGAGGACCGATCGCCTAGTCCGCGGCCATTCTCCAACCCCCAAGCCTGATTCGCATCTCGCAGTTAGTGCAGCAAACCCTCCCGACTCTCTCTGGAAGTTCGGCATCAAGAGCCAGCCTTCATGTTCGAAGGCCCCATATTAGCCTTCGCTCGCTGAGCACGTTCAGAAAGTCGACGAAGTTCTTGGAATTTTACGCTGACTCATTGGTTGAGACAGGATGCCGCGGGTAGTCCTCTGAGCTTTTGATCTCTTCTGCATGATGGTCTCGAGATCAGCTTCTGGGAAATCCATGATCGCGGGCGGGCACTATTTTGGTGCAGTAACCTGTCCGCCGCTTCGAACGCTTGTGACTCTTCAGCCCGACGGACACTCTAAGCTCTGTTGCAGCTTCGCGATCTCCTCTCCGAGGTCGCTAGTTCCCTTGCGGTCTCCCAGACGCGTCTTCTCATGGAATCTATAGCAAAGTAATCCTGCTGAGTAGAATATAGCGTTTAGAAACAAATCGGATGGATTCAAGAACGGTCAGTTTTACCTTGCGCACATGCTGAACGACTGACGCAGAGGTCGTCGCCACGTATCTGCAAAGTCATTGTATGACCCGAATAACTCGCCAATCGAGACGGTCCATAAAAGATCCGTGCAGCGTTACTGGAAGACCCCAATGAATCTAGAAAGGTCGTCCGTTGCACTGCCTCGATCACAGGCTCCCCTTACGCGACCTCCGGGACCACTTGAACCCCCCCCCCGCAGACCTCTAGCCAGGCTCTGTCCTGAAGATCGGTCCTACGACTCGTCAGGTGGAATTTGCTCTCTCTTTGCCTTCGGGCCGACTTTCTTGCGGCGGAGCGTAGTCGCTTGGATAGGTTGAGGCTTGGTGCCTGAGCAGCCTGTCCCGACCCCTGAGTTGCCCTTGGCGAGCAGGCGGGGCTGGGGAGACCGGGATTGTTCGCACCGGCTGTGCCGGGACAGCCCGAGCAGGTAGCTCCACTATGTCCACTCGATCGAGGACAAGACAAACGGTGCTCGACGGGACTGCACGGACTCCTTTGGGGCATCGTCCTGCACTCGAGAGGATCGTTAGTAAACGAAACATTTAACAGCACAGAAAGAAACAGTATACTACCTTCAACGGTTCTAACGATGCCCCGGTCGCTGAAAAAAACCGTTACTTACCGCAATGTTCGCGGTTGTTACGAGCATTCCTCGCGTCAGCGAATATCTAATCGTTAAACTGCCGAAATTTACGAGCACATACAGGTGTCACGAGTAGCGACGAGGGCGTGTCTGCTGTAACTTGTAAAAACCATCAGGTAATTATTATGGATCAGCACGAGCAGATAATAGACATCATAAGAAAACTCTTGGTACTTGAAAACGGGCAATAGACCGTTGTACAGAAAAAGAAGAATTTGGACCGTGGACCCCCCGCATTGCGTGGGAATGATGTATATACCAGCGGTCGTAGGTCGCGAGTAGGAGTAGATGAAGTCTTATCCAGTACTCTTCAAGGTAGTAGGCGACACACCGAGCCGTCGTACCCGCAGTTGGCTTCCCTAAGCCGCTCTCGCAGCCAGCGATGTACATCAGAGGACAGCGATGCATACGCGTTGGGCCGTCCATTGCATCGCGTGCGATCCCGAAAGGATCCAGGACCGGACCTGATGAAAGCGATGGGAAGGGAATCCTACACCACACCATGAAGTCTCAATTGAGAGATCGCGGGAGGGCACAGTGTCTGGCGGCCGGACGGTTGGTATGGTCGAGGAACACTTCTGCGCGAATTCGTAACGCGTCTTTATTCTATTAAATCCTCGGAAGTAAGAAACCGAGTAACAGCTCAAGCGCCTCGGGTTCGCGACCCCTTGCTTTAGAGACGAGGCTGGCTCATTCCTCGGGTCTGGATGGGACGGTTCCATTCACAGTCTGCAACACGAACACCGAAACCGTGTCATTAGGGCCTTCGTGTTTCTTCACCGAGTGTTGACAGGAGCCTCTAAAAAACTCACACGACTCGAGCCGCCGTCCACGGCTCGAATCCAAGGCGGAGCGGTGTCTCCGTGATTGAAACGCCAAGGAGGACCCAAGCCACTATCCACCAACAAAACAAAACAAAAAAAAAAAAGAGGAAAGAGAAGGAAGAAGGAAAACATTATCCTCTGGGACTGAGGCCTGATGACGAAATAACGTTCAGATGCCATGAATAAAATGCGATCGGACGAAAGTTGCTCAGGCGGTTGCGAGGTTTCTGTTTGAAGTGAAAAAACGTTTCGGTGGCTTCATAAGAAAAGTGGTTTTTCTATGGGCGAATCGACGAATCGACGGTTACCAACATGTGGAACTGAAACGACAGTCCCACTCGTCTCCTCACCGCCATGTAAATGGGCCCACGGTCGACTTAAATGACCAGTATGGCCCTCGTTTCGGTTACGCTGCGGCACTAACACATTGCCAAAAACGGTTGCCAGCTCAGCACGCAGAGCATTTATTGGCCGACATGCTTTAGGCGCGAGGCCGACATGGCAGCAGTTTGAAAACAGGTTCGTGAATGTAATAGGAGGCCCTCAGATCCAGGTCGCTAAGGTGGAGAAATTGGGGTCAGGTACGCTCGGACTAAGGACTAGCATGAGGTCGCGTTTCACCAAGTTCTGTACCGACGTCTTTCCCGTTCAGGTCTGAGGGGCGAGTGCACACAACTTCAACGTAACTTAGTTTCAAGGTCCGACCCTATCAACCTTAAAAACTAGGGGGCTTAGGGGCCTGTAGCTAAGGAAATAATAAAGGTGGTGGGGAAGAGTCACGTGAAGGGCAGACTGCCCTCGTCAGAAGCAAAACCCGCAAACGCAGACCTGCCAAGTGATGTGCGAGCCCACACGCGTTTTTCTTCCATGCACAAGGCGTGCGATGTCAGCTTGGAAAAAGGGAATGGGACTAAAGCCTGATTATACATGCCAATACACCAAAACCTACGGATTAGCAATGATTATACGTTTAAGTCAGTATAAAATAGGCGAATACACATTCATTAAGGGGATTCGGCATTTACAGAAAAAAGGAACAAAACAGAAATTTCTCTCTTGTAAAACTTTGCTTTGACTTTTTCGTCTGTTGTAAGTCAGCTCGCGACCGCGACCTGACACCCACTAATATCAATACAAATCAGTGGACGTAGGACTTGCTATCTTAGCATCCGAACCACTTAAAAATTCCCTCTACAGCTATTTTATTTTTCTGACATTCTATTTTCACGTACATCAAACAGTCACTTGATATTATACACGTAAAAATTCGTTGGTGCAAGATCGAGCATCAACAAAACTCTTCTTTTCAAAAACAAAATCTTTTGGAAACAATGCACAATAGGCAAAACATTGTTTCAAATGCGAGGGAAGATGATCATAACTAAGCTTAAGAATAGGTACAATACCATTTTCTTCTGGAGCTATTTCAGAGAGCTTGCAATCTCTGAACTGCAACCAATCACTTATTCTTTTATGATCACAAAGTAAGTGTCCTATTGTCCTTATGGCAAGGGGAACTCCTAGACACTTGGCTAAAATGTCCTTTCCTATTGTTACGAGTTCTTTATCTTTTGGCTCTAACCCACGCCCAAATGCTACTTGCATAAACAAAGACCATGACTCGTCTTCAGATAATCGTGTCAAGCTTTGAGATGGAAACTTACTAGTAATCCTTGCAACCTTTTCATTGCGAGTAGTCACAAGTATTTTACTTCCTTGTGCACCATCCATTAATAAATCTTTTAATTTGGCCCATTTATCAGGATTCTTATCATCCCATACATCATCTAGAACTAGCAAGTATTTTTTTCCATCAATTTCTTCATGAAGGTGTTTCTGCAATTGATCCATTTCAAGTTTATTAAGGTTGCTCACAGCCTTAGGATTTGCAGATTTTATGATCTTCCTTATAATTAACGCCACATCAAAGTCATCGGAAACACACACCCACATTCTTAAATTGAAATGATTTATTATTTTCTTATCATTGTAAACAAGTTGAGCAAGTGTTGTTTTTCCTATTCCTCCAAGTCCTACTATGGGAATCACAGAAACATTCTCAATCTCATTTGACTCTAATAAAAGTTTTATAACTTTACTTTTATCATCATCCCTCCCAATAACATTTTCTTCACGTACAAACGAGTGTGTTTGTTCTGTCTCTATATGGACAACTTGTTTCTCATCACGACACTCATCGAGGTGAAAGGTTCTATCTTTGGCAATCTCAGTTAATCTCTCCCTAATAGTCTTAATTTTACAAGCCATCTTAAGACTAAACACAATCTGATTAGATTGGGAGAAGAAGATCCGTACTTCTTTTGCCATTTTATTCCCAGTCATGTCCTCTCGCTTCAGAACCTCAGTTGAGAAATCGTCCAACAAGTCGTCTGCATCGTAAAAAGCATCCTTGAGCCTCCGAAGCCAAACCGTTACCTGGTGATTCTTTTTTATGTGCTGCTCCTCCGCATCAAGAAGTACAGCCTCGATAGTTTCCACTGTGTCTCCAAGCTTTCTAATCTCATTTCTAACTCCAAAGGCCAGTTCGATATCATGAAAAACTCGGGAGCCCAACAGGTTCAAAAGTTTCCCAGCAATATCAAACGCAACTCCTTCAGCCATTTGTTTTCGTTTGCCGTAATGCCAGTAGAATTTTTGTGGAAGATGGTAACAGTAAAGATTGATGGTGAGTCATGTTATAGATATTTATAGATAAATGTAATTGCAATATTGTTGAAGAAGGAAGGCACGTTATTCTTTTCAGAGATATCAAGAAATCGTTTCTTTAGGTACTTACAAAGTCTCTGAATTAGATGAGACTTAATTAATTAAAGCAAAGAATATATACTTGGAGTAAATGAAAGAAATCCCAATTGGAAAACAAAAAGATGCAAACGTTGATGCCATTCTTTTCTGTAATGCAAAGAAAACATTACCCCATACCAAATCACGTAAGTTCTTGATGTTTTCAAAAGATGAAAATTTGTGAATACATTTATGTATATTGCCAAAGCATATACTTTTGCTTTCTTTAATTAATGTCTCTCTTGTAATCCAGCTTTTGTCTCTAATTTAATTAAATTCAATTAGTTTAATGGATTTGTTGTCCAGCTTTAATTTGCTAATACGCTCTTCTTATTATACAACTAATTCATCCAAATTATATTCTGTCTTAATTTCTACCTCTAAACTTAAAAGTTGATAATATGGTTTTTACATACAAATTAGAATAATATTGCATGTATAAACTTATTATACAAATTTACTCATACAGCTGCCTACCTGGCTGTTTCATTTGTTTTTAATTTTGTAAATTTTAACTATTAATATAATATTATTTTGTAATTTAAAGTATTTAATATGGGTATTCTTGTTATTACATTTTCAAAATCTAACTTGAGAAATAATGTCCTTTTCGAAAGTTAATTAGGGTAGTTTTTCAAATATTTTTATAAAAAATAATTTTATATAATTAGTTTAAAACTTAATTGGTTTTAAAAATAGTTTTAATAATGAAGTGATTAATTTTTAATCTACGGTGATTCCATAGTCTAATACAATAGAACCTCTTTATGGTCATAATGTTGAGACCAACTAAATTTATTACTATGAAGAGGTTATAACTTAATAGATGTGTAATTACAAGAATTATTATTTTGATAGTATGAAAATGAATATCAAAGAGTCATTACAAAATTGAGTAATCAGATTCAACAACTTCACTACACTAATCAAATGGATATTAATGGCTTCGTTTGGTTCGTTTTTGGGAATACTATTATTAGTATTCCCAAAAAAGTTAAACAGCAAAATGTCATTATTCCCAAAATATTATTCTGTATTTTTCAATTTCTTTTAAACCTCTTAAGTTTGTTAATTTAACTAAACACCCCCCAAATATTTTTTTTAGAAATTGAAAAAAATACTCCGGCCACCCTCCGGCGGTGGTGGACGGTTGTTCGTATTTAATGGGTGGGTTGGAGGTGTTTTTGTTAACTTTTAATATTTTATTATAGGGGTGTTTAGTAAATAAACAAACATAGGAGATTTTTTTATTAATTTCCAAATCATACATCGTAATACCCACCCAATTTAATTTTTTTCAAAAAATTATTCTAAAAACTATCAGAATAATGAACCAAACGGAGCCAATATCTTCCTTAATCATCCAAATGAGCAATAAGTCGTGTATATTTTAACTGAAGAAGAAATAATTACTAGAATTAGACAAGAAGAGGAAAGAGATAATCCTGAAGATGAATATAGTATGGAAATACCAAAAGTTTTGTGCCAAGAAGCTCCAAACATACAGCTAGAAATATTTTGGGTTCAACAAGAAAGTGTCCATATTGGCTACTTATTACATGCCCGCAAGATAAAAGATATGGTAACAACTCTAAAGCATAAATCATTGTCTCAAACAACTTTAAATAAATATTTATTTTATCTTAAACATTTAATGTAACATATATATATATATATATATACAATTATTAGTATATAAAGGCAAGTTCCTTTAAACGGGACCTAGAAAAATTACAATTTATTACAATGTGAAATTTATTTTTATTTATAACAGACCCAAGTTGGGATTATAATTTTTTATGACTATATAGAGGTTATTCTTATATGGAGTATTATTATAAAAAAACTAAAAAAGTTCTACCATATTATGTTTTATGCTTCAGGAAAGATGGATATATGTGTGCTAAGCAAAACATTACTGAAATAAATAAATGAAATTAAGACACACTATATTGAACTTCCACCAAAAAGCACATAAGAATTAAAAAAGAAAGAAAAACTTTTAATTTTGACTTGTAAATTGAGAATTTTCAGTCGTGAATATTTTGACATCTAATGAATGTTAGAGAGTTTAGATGTATTATTACTTTGTTTGTAACCTCAAAAATTCTTTCACCATCAGGTTGTATTGAATTCAAAGCTAAAAAAATTAAGCCAAAATTTAAAGTTAAAAAATCTTTATCCTTTTTACTAAAATTAATTAGTTGTAACCTAACCTAACATAATATTAATCAAACTTTAATTACTCTCCAGGTAAAAAAATTCACCTTGGTTCACATTTTTGCGTTTTTGGGAAAAGTTTTTGAAAAAGGTTAAAAAAAAGTTGAATTGGACGGGTATTACGATGTAAGATTTACAAATTATAAAATACCCCCTATGTTTATTTTTTTTACAAAACACCCCTATAATAAAACATTAAAAGTTAACAAAAACACCTCAAACCCACCCCATCAAATACGGACAGCCGGTCGCCACCACCGAAGGGTGGCCAGAGTCGTCATATCAGCGCATGACCGGCTGGATCTTGCCGGTCGTGCGCCGATATGGCCTTTTCCAGCCAGACCCACGGTGGATCTTGCTGACAAAGGCTTGATCTACGGCTAAATTTGACCATTGACGGTCAAATCTGGTTGTAGATCTTCGTCAACGAGCCAAAGATACGGTCGTCGTTGATGGTCAACGACGACCATATGTTGGCCGTCGTTGACGTCTGGTTATAGCCAAAGATCTGGCCGTGGCCTTAGATCTGGCTGGAAAAGGCTAGATCGACGCACTACCGACAAGATCCAGCCGATAGTGTACCATCTTACCAGATTCCGACCAACTTCCGACAGTGGTGGCTGGAATCTAGTTTAATGTGGGTTTAGAGGTGTTTTTGTAATTTCAAAAAAAAAAAACATTTAAGAGTATTTAATTAAATTAACAAATTTAGGAAGTTTAAAAAAAGTTGAATAATATTGGATAATATTGTGAGTTTTTGGGCATTTTACTGTTCAACTTTATGGGAAATACTAAAAGTAGTATTCCCAAACTTGAGCCAAACAAAGCCCTCACATTTTGATTTTACCAAAACTTACCAAGGTAAAAATATGTAAAACTAAACTGGATTTTGCTTCTGCTTGAGCCTTGAAGACCAAAATTTGTAGCATTAGTTCTTAAATTAATAACGGATAAATTATCATCTTTGTGCCTCTAAAATAAAAAAGATAATAACACTTCTCTTAGAAACTTTATAATTTCTTCACACAAATTAATATTAATATGATAGTAGATATTATTAATTTATAATACCATCATCAAAATAATAGTAATTAAAATAACATTAGTTTGTACCACAAAGTTATGAGAAATAAATTACATTTAAAAGACATAATAATTTAATTCCTCTTTTGTTTTAATAATGAACCTATTTTTGAAAATTACTTCTTATTTTAATCTCTTAAATTACTTTAAATAAGAAAATTCTACATAACAAAACTAGAAGTACTAGCCATTGTTCAAGAAAAGAGTTAACATGTAGTGATATAGACGCACGCACACCATTGAATAAGCTGGCCCCGTGCTTCGGCCGTTCATGACAAAATAAAACAGAAAACTATAAAATGATATTTGAAAAACCTGTTCTTCTTTCCCAAACACAAATTCAGAGTATTCATCATTCAAAAGCTACGAATCCTGAATGTGAGCGTATTCCTCCATCAATCTGCTCAGCATCGCACTGCATTCATTCTCGATCTCACACTGTTCTTCATAAAACTTGCGCTTTGATGCTGCCAACTTTTCATCACGGATTTTGAATACCGCCTCTCTCTTCTTCTCGAACACTTCCATTTCTTTGTCTTGTAGCTTTATGAACTCCGCCATTCTTTCAGTTCTGTGTAAGAAAAGCATCATCAATAGATACCTAAAACAAAACATGCCCGGATTCTAAGTTCTCTATTGTATATGCATTCTCGGCTAATTATTATACCTTTGCCTTATGTCTTCAGTGCTGGAAGTGTTTTCAATTGATTGCTTCGCTTTCTCCCGCTCACCTTGTTGTAGCATTTCGAAATCCTCCTCTTTGGCATCTCTTGCTTCCTGGATAATTCTGATTTGCTCCTTGAAAAACTGTTCTTGGAAGTCCATCTTCGGGAGAATAAATAGAGTTATGACAAAATTGGGGAAGTAATTAAGACACTTAAAGTTCAATTTCAACATGGAAAAAGCTCATAAGCAACTGGATGTCATACCTCTTCCTTGTTCTGCTCATGTTGCAATCTTGTCCTTTGTTTGACAATGCGATTCTCCTCAATTGTCTTTCTCAGCCTCTCACTCACGATACCAAAGGATTCTTCCAGAGTCTTCGAATGCCTCTGCACCTTATCCACTTTGTTCTTAAAGTAATTGAGCTGCTGATTGTCCTCACTCATTTGTCTTATCTGCCTAACAACCATCTCTTGGTATGATCTCAACTCATATTTCAGCTTGGATTTTCCTAATGGAATGCAAAGCATGTTAGAGAATGTTAAGCATCGTATTAGCAAAATTCTTTATGAATAGAAAACTGACAAACGATATGTTTTAATGCTGTAAGTTATCATGAATGTTCACAGGATTTATGCATGATTATAACCAGAAAAACTAGCCTCTATACTTGTCTGTGTGTGCAAGACACACAAACACAAATAAATAGATAGATAGAAAGACATAGAGAAAGAGAACCTTGTGAGTGCTGATTGAAGACATCGAGGTCTTCCTTAGTTGCCATAAAACCATATAATTGGCGCTTCCCTCCGGGGTGGAATAGTACCTGCCTCCTATTCCAAGAATCTCTGTCTGTTCCTTGATCAGAAAAATGTTTATGCAGACGTTCCGCTTCCAGGTATCCCCCCGCAGAACTTTCAAAAATGAGCACACTCATTCCCCGGTGCCCCTGTGGACCATAAGAATGTCGAGCCCTCACAGCAGCATAAGAGTTGAAGTAATCAATAAGTTCCTGATTCCCCATACCAATCCACTGAATCCAATACAATAAAAGGATTAGTTATGTTATGAGGATCAGCAAATGTATTTCTTAAATGACAACACAAGCAAGCTGCATTTGGGACCAAAACAGAAATTTTAACATTAATTAGAATTCTATTGTAACCTCTATACAGAAGCAAGACGACAATGTAACCATACCTTATCATTCTCATCTTTCTCCAACCTGGTATTCATGATGACGACCATGGGGGGCCACACTATCTCATGATCCTTCTCTTCATCTTTCAATCCCTTCCATCTACCAAATGCTTCAGAAGATGGAACAACTGAAGTTCCCCTCCTGTACAACTCCTCATCGAGAAGCTTAGCAAGTTCCCGGTGGGGCTTCACTCTCTTTGATCCTTTTGTTTTGGCATGGACCATTAAAGGCTGAAGGCCACGGTACCAGTCAATGGCACCTGGACCACGTTGGCACGCTGGACAGTGCCACTGCCTTTCTGGTTCATTTAACTCTTCAATAGTCAAATTATCCAAACTTTCAAAGAATTTTCTGAACCATCTACTCTTCTTTCGAGTCTCATAACTCTTTTGACTGGTATCTGAATCAAATTCATCGCTAAAAAGCTCATCCTCTGAATCATCCACAATATCAGAGTCGTCGTCCTTGTCATCGTCGTAATTTTCTTCAGCATTATCCTCGTAGTCATTATGCACACTTTTGTCTTTTTGGCCATCTTCAAAACCTTTTGATGGAAGAGAACCAGCTCTAGATTGCCAGTTCCAACCCCGCTCCAAAGGTGGGGGAATCACCGGTTGGGGAGGCATATAATTTCTCTCAGGCATCCTCCTGGGCGCATGGGGCCTCACACTCCCCCTGCTGGGTTGTGTCCTAGGTTCTGAAGTATGTGCCCAGGTTTTCCCAGGAGCCCTTCCAGAGCCACCAATGTTAGGTTTTGGAGCACTGTTATTCGCTCTGTTTTTAGACTTCCTTGAAGCCACCTGCCACTCACCTTCATCTTCGGCTGCACCTGCACCAACTGGTTTTTCACCCCCTCTTCTTGAACTCATCTTTATGCAAAATTCTCTGCTGGATCATTGTAACATTTAACAGCGATTAATCAGGGAAAAGAAAGAGGAAAAAGTAATATCTATCAAAAGCAAATGCAAGACTACCTTGTCAAAAGACCTTAACACCTAAATAATAATAAGCATCTGCTATTCCCAGCTTTAAGCTAAAGATCGTTAAATCACATTGAAGCTTCTTACACAAATAATTCCACAGAACAAACACTTAAGATCCAAATATAGTCCTGTAATAGGAAATGTAAAATACTAGATTTTTCTAAAAAATAAAAAGTAGTCACACAATGTGATGCCTTCCGAGAAACCGTTTGGTTTCCGAGAAACAGATAGGAAAATCTCAATATTTTTAGTTATAAACCGTAGGTTTTTCTTGGCAACCAAACAGAGGCACATAACACAACATTCTTATGATAAAGTCCATGCAAAAAAATCAGTAAATCAAGAAACATGAAAAAAATGAAAAAATAATATAAGCATTTTTTTTTTTAAAATCAACAGCCAGTCTTATATTTCTTCAAGAGCAAATGCAGACTACATCGTCAAAAGTCTTAACACCTAAATAATAATAACATTTGTATTAGCTTATGAGCTAAAAATCGTTAAATCACATTCAAGCTCTATCACAACTGATTCCACAAACTAACACTGAAGATAATAGATATTGTCTTCTAAAAGTAAATGTGATCTACCAGATTTAATTAAAAAAAAAAAGAGTGACGCAAAGTGATGTTTCCGAGAATAGTAGGAAAATCACAAAATTTTGTGTATAATCCGTAGGTTTTTTTCTCAAACAAATACAGGAAAAGAAATCAGGAAAATTTGTGATAAAATCCAGGTGACGCAACCAAACACAGGCACAATAACATAACAAAAACAAAAAAAAAAAAAAAAAAAAAAAAAAAAAAAAAAAAAAAAAAAAAAAAAAAAAAAAAAAAAAAAAAAAAAAAACTAAATCAAGAAATATCCAAACAATCAAAATTACTAAACAATTTAAAAAAAAATAAATACACCTAAGAATGCGTCACCTGCCTCGGGCTACCGTGAACAACACCGTCGTGAACTGTGAAGAACCGGAAATGATTCCGTAGAGCAAACTCCGGCAGGTCAAGCTCTAAAACGGAAGTGAGATTCAGTGTAAAAGGAGACTGTGAGCGAGTTTAAGAATGAAAAGAGTGTGCTTGAGTGAGAGAGTGACCTAGGGATTGGGTCCTCTTAATAAAAGCTAGAAACGACGTCGGCTTGAACACTTACATGGTCCTTGCCCAGTACGACTGGCTAATATTTGTAGGTCTCTCCTATGCTAGTATCATTTCAATTTTGTCCTAATAGGGAATTAAAACAGCCCTTTTATTTTTTGTTAATATCATAGTCAACCTTTGTCTTTGGGATTTATTACGGTTGCATTTCAATTAATATTCTGCTCAGACTACTTTTTGACTTTTGACAGCACCAACTCCGTGCTCGAATCACTAGTTCTTTTAAGGTCAAGAAGTAACTATTTATTTTTCTACCTTTATTCTTGGAAGAGAATATTAATATATTATTATTATTATTATTATTATTTCTTCATCCAAATTATTAAGATAATTGATTTCTAATAAATGATAAATTACTAGTATATTTTGAAGTTATTCGTATTGTTCTTATAAATATAATAATTTTTTTTTATGATCGAAGTGTTTGAATCAATTTATTTGTACTTTAATAAATCTTTCAGAATTCTAAAATTATCGATCAAGTAAAATTATAGTATCTATCTCTATTAATAACTAAGAAAATATAATGATTTATTTTATTGTAAGTGACATATATGAATATGATCATCTAAATAATGGTGACAAATTAATTACAAATTACACATTAGACATTAATTTCTATCAAAAGTTTGTAGCGCTTAACAAATTTAATCAAAACTTAACTATGTTGGAGTCTTATATCGATTAAATACACTCAAAAAAGTAATTATTTCATTCGGCAAAGCTTTATTGGATGACTGTCAGATTCTTCTCAAATTATATGGTATTAAAGTTTATGCAATAGTATTATCATTAGTCCCTAGGCATACAAAATTTGATTAAAACTTTGTTGACTCATTATAGTCTATAACCAAACATCATAGTAGTTGATCGCCATGTCCATACACGTCAATGTTATAATTTAGCGTGTCTCGTGATGATCATAAGAGAGCTGACTCTTTGGCCATTACTTGTAAAGTTTTGTTGCGATGAGTTGGCCAAATTTGCAGCTAGGGGCGGAAAGCCAATGTCAGATGAACCGGGTCAATTTTTTTCAAAAAAAAAAAAAAAAAAAAATTGTTAAAAGAGTAAAGTGAGTAGTTGGATTTTAATATATTTTGGGCTCTTGAGTCTAGCGCTGTTTTTGAGCCGAGACGAGTCGAGCTGAATTTTTGGCTAAACGAGCTCGACTCGTTAAGGGAGGAGGAGAGTTCAAGTTCGAGCTGAGCCAGACAAGTCGCTGATTTCTTGGCTCAACTCAAACTCGTTAAGAGAGAAGAGATTTCGAGCTTGGCTCGCAAGCTAGTTTAATGAGCCGAGTTCGAGCCGGCTCACGAGTTAGCAAGTACGTATACACAAGTGTAATACATCCGCTTCGCATTAGAAATATATACAAAACTAAACAAAGTTATGTTTCGAAGCCACCGAAATTGGCCCAGATTCATCAGTCACATGCTGCATCTTCCATCCTAATCATTTCATGCAGTGGCTTTCATTTAGATTAAAAAAAACTTACTAAAAGTTGGAATCAAAAGGCATTGGCGACGAGATTGATGGCAGGAACAATGGGCAACACCAACACGAGCGTGACAGCGAGAATAAGGCGGCAACAACAATGACCAGACGACAATGACAACAATAAGAAGGCGACAACAGTGGGCGACGACGATGACGATAACGTGGTGTTGGGCGACGGCGACAGCGTGGTATTGGGCGATGGCGACACCCTGGTGGTAGATTGGGTTTCAATGTTTCACGGCGAGAATTGAAAGGGTAGATAGAGTATTCGATGCCAACAACACTCGGGCGAATCAGATGATATCAACGGCGACGACGAAGCACAACGAAGATGGCTGGAAAATTAGTTGAAAATCGTATGGGTTTGGCTTTTTAGGGGCAAAGAGGTTATGTCGACAATTTTAGAGACTTTAAAATCAGGGGGTCTTTGTCATTTTTGAGAACTTTTTGTATTTGAAATTTTAGTTTAATCCCCCATACTTTAGAAAACCCTAAAAAAACCCCCACTTATTCGAGCCAGGCTCGGCTCGCGAGCTTAACCAACCGAGCCAAGGCAGGCTCGAACTCGGCTCGTTCTCTTTCATGAACAAAGCCCAGTCGACTTGAAACCATACGAATCGAGCCGTTAACGAGCCAGACTCAAGCCAACCCGGCTTGCGAGCGGCTCGGTTCGTTAACCAACCCTATTTGAGTCTGTGTGTTTTATTATTTTAGATAGGATTTAAATATCCTTTGTTTCAATATTATATCCCTATCATATTTTACTATTATATCCTAAAAACTCGAAATGCATTTGGTTCAATATTCTCAAAATCTTATTCTACTTTATTCATCTCCAAAAAATTAATAATTACATTTCTCATAAAGATAACCTAATTTTACTTTTTTTTTTTTTTCAAAATACTATTCTAAAAATTATCAAATAATGAACCAAATGAAGCCTAGGGGGTGCGTTTGTTTCCCTGTTTTTACACTATCCTATTCCTATTTTTTCCAAAATACATATTTGTTTCCCTATTTTGAAAATCCTATTTTATTTTATTTAATTATTTTTAAACCTCCTGGGTTTGTTAATTTAACTAAACACCAAAAAAAAAAAGTTTAGAAATTGACAAAAACACCCTCACCCACCCACATTTGCCAGATTCCGGCCACCACCGCTAGCAGGTGGCCGGAATCTGGTATAATGGCGTGCTACTGGCTGGATCTGGCCGGTAGTGCACCGATCTAGCCAAGCTAGATCTACAGCCAAAGATTTGGCAGTTGATGGCCAGATCTTTGTCACTAGCTAGTTGTCAACGACAGCCAAGATATAGCCATCGTTGACGACCAAACGCAACCAGATCTGGCCCTCAACAATCAAATCTAGCTGTAGAGCTGACTTTTTCTGGCTAGATCCAAGATGGATCTGGCTGGAAAAGGTCATATCGGCGCACGACCAGCCAACACGGTGAATCCAGCCACCTTCTGGCGATGGTAGCCGACTGTTGGTATTTAATGGGTGGGTAGGGGTGTTTTTTTTTAATTTTTAATGTTTTATTACATAGGTGTTTAGTAAATTAACAAATCTATGAGGGAATTTTTGTTAATTTTCAAATCTTACCTCGTAATAACCACCCAACTGGTGTTTTTATTTTATTATTTTGAGTTGTATTTTTGAAAAAGTTAAGTTGGGTTATTATTATGAGGTAATATTTGAATTTAAAAATGTGTTTGGTAAGATTTGAATTTGAAAATGTGTTTGGTAAGATTCTCTTTTAATCTTCTATATTTGTTAATTTAGTTAAACACCCCCTACAATAAAAGTTTTAAAATTAACAAAAACACTCCCACTCACCCATTAAATACCGGCAACCGGTAGTCGGCTGTTGGGAATATGTGGGTGGATGGGGGTGTTTTTGTCAATTTATAAACTTTGATTGTTGGGGGTATTTAGTTAAATTAACAAATCTAGGGGTTTTAGAAAAAAGTTAAATAAAATAGAATTGGATTTTTAGAATAAGGAAACAAATATGTATTTTGGGTAGGATAAGGATAGGATATGGTAGAATCGTTTATTTAGTTATTTGGAGTAGTACTTTTGAAATATTATTTTTAGAAAGAATTTGGTGGTTATTACGATGTATGATTTGAAAATTAAAAATAGTTGAATAATTTAGGATAAAATTTTAAAAATAGAGAAACAAATATGCGTATTAATTTGGAATAGGAATAGGATAGGGAAATAAGCACATTAGTTTAGTTATTTGGAGTAATATTTTTTGAAATATTATTATTAGGTAGAGTTAGGTGATTATTTGAAAATTAAAATAGTTGAATAATTTAGGATATGATTTTGAAAATAAAGAAACAAATATGCATTTTGATTTGTAATACGAATATGATAGAGAAACAAAGACAACATTTTTCTCCAATTTCAACTTAATTAGGCTTTTTTTAAATGGAAAGTGGTTTTTAGCCTCATAAAATTGATCAATAGCTCTTATTGCTAAATACACATTTATTATATTAAAAAAAAAAAGTTTTTAAACTCTAGTTAATATTGAAAATATCTTAATTATGTTTAATTAGGGTTTTTATTCGCACCCCCTTTTCTCCAATTTCAACTTAATTAGGTTTTCAATCTTTTTTCTTTTTTCCTAATTTCAAATTTGAGACTTACTTTTTCTTTTTCAAATTCAGATTCATTCCGTTGTTTGATTATTTTCTCTATAATTTTAGTAATATATTTTCATTGAACAAAGAAATATTTGAAATAGAAAAAAGGTTTCAATGATATAGAAGTTTTAGAGTTAGGATTTATGATTAAGAATTAAAGAAAAATATAAAGTAGAGTATAAGTACATCTAGAAATTATTATTTCATTTTTTAATCATTTTTATTAAGGTGAAAATTGTTAAAAAAAAAAAAAATTTAAGTGGTGGATGTTGATCAATTTGATGGGGGTTAAAAATCACTTCCCTTTTAAAATATAATGATGTTATTTAAACCTCGTCCAAATTCTTTGTAAGCCCCTTTAATCAAATTTTTAAAGATTAAAATTAAATATTAAACTAAAATTACCATAAAAAAACCCATTATCAGCTGAGATGACAAGTTAAATCTTAATGTTATTATAGTTCAGATAATTAAATTCTTACATGTTTGTCCCCAAATCCTCTTGATTAAAAACTTATTCAAAATATATAGTTGAATTACTCTTACTTTTCTATAAATTTGTAATGAAATTAATATATATTTGAATTTTATTAGTTTTTATTAAAATTGGAGCTTAGAAAGTGATTTATTGGAGCTCAAATAACGACACTCTTTAAATATATTTAGACTTCTAATATTCTAAGTTTTATAAAATTAGTCATATTTTATGTTTATTAAGTAAAAGAATTTTATGAAATGAATATGAAAATCTTTGAATGAGTAAGAATTTCGAGGACCATTGCTTTGAT